AGCCCGAATGACTAACGATTCCTTAACCAGCAACTTATACCTTTGTTTTTCTCGTAAAACAATTTCAAAGTTATTACCTGTAATCACATGTCCAGTATTTGAGTAGTGCTTACCGATAGCTGATTTTGCAACATAAACTGAGTTACATTTTCCTTTATTATTATTTTTATAGCAGAGTTGCTCAACAGTTTCCTCAATTATACTTAGTTCGAGGATTGAGGTTGTCCGAAGTCTAGGCAAACAGCCTGTTTGTGATCGGGTAACACAACGTGACTCCGTTATTCGTTGTGAAGAGCAACTAGTGTTGCTAGAAGAATTTTTCATTTTAGACACTTTTCCACTTAGTGTGAAGGTCGGTACGTTTTTCCAATATAAAATTCATTACATACGGAGCCAGTGACTTTATAAACAATTCCCGATTCAAGTGGAGTAGGTACTCTGTCTTTTGTATTGAAACACTTACCTAACTTCTCAGTCTCATACACGATCTTTACTTCTTTCAAGGGAAAATTATTTTGAACTGCTGCTGATATACGTCTCCCGTAAACTAAGCTTGGCTGTCCATAAAATGGTACCTTCAAGGCCACGCGTTCTCTTAATACAGTAGGCTCACATACTTTTGGTGTGTAATACTGATTCAATTTTTCCCAAATTATTTTATCTACGTACCAATTGGGATAACCGTTGTGACCAGCAATTTCCCTAATCTTCTCAAATTCCTCATCGAGCAACTTGTATGACGAACAAATGCGAATGGCTCTGTACACCATTATCCCTATAGCATTACGTTTATATATATCAGGTACATACGAGTCCCATCGAGTAAGGAGACCAGTAAATGTAGATTTTCTATAAACTTTTGTGCTAAAGCCTGGGCTTGAACGAGTTATTTGTACATCTAGAAATGGTATACTATTATTCTCATCCTCAGACTCGAACGTAAAAGTCAATGATAGATGGAAGCTAGATGATAAAGCAGTTCTTATATACGGATTGACATGTTTCTCCAAAAGAACAAAAGTGTCATCCACATAACGACACCAAAATCTTACTCCATTTTGTCTAATTAATGCAAGATTATTTTCCTCAGAGTCTGCCATAAGGGCTCAGCCATTAACGGCGCAATGGGAGCACCCATAGAAACGCCGTCTATTGATACAGTAGTTTATAAATAGTCTCAAAATTGACAGTTTAACAGTTCACGAGTGAAACTGGCAGAGAATTCCAGTGCACCGGAGTTTTATAGAAAAATGACGACTGAACTGTCGTATAGCAAGGGAATCGACAGATGACAGAACCATTATGCTTTAAGCGTTGAGAATGTCTCACAGTTATAAGATCCTTTGTTCTGGCGCAAGAAATAATTCAAGATATTATCAAATACGTTCCTTGAATACTTCAAACACCAACAGCAATTTAAACTCATACTTTAATCTTAAAATAGTTTCTGAGAAAACTTCTGAAATTTCGGAAGTTACAACGCAGGTTTTAACTCTAATTTAGGATAGCACCAAAAAGTACAAGTTTTATGAGCAAGAAAATTCGCGCATCGAAAATTAGGTTCAATTAGAGATTGAGCTCAAAATAATTTTTTCGTATCACTTTTATATATACGCGTGTCTTCACTAGACTTCATGCAATTAAGACGTATAGTGATGTATGCTCTTTTCTTTTTTCCCCGTTTTATATACTCTATATATAGCGTTACATGTCCTAATTTCGACACTCTCATACAAACACATGGCGTTTTGAGAGGCTTTTGGAAAGAATACCAGCATTTATGCAGATACAATGTATTGAAAATGAACATAAAGCTGTTGTCTTTATCACAGAAATATAACATCTACCACATCACTCAGTTGAATTTTCATTTCAACACGATTGTTTGACCTATCAAACGTCATCAATCCGATCAATTCACAAACTCCATTCACTGACTTTTCGAACAAACGCCATCCACATATTCCTCAGTGCAGCCAGCAAAAACAAGAAATTAATGCTTCTTCCAGTAGAGACTCATTGGAATTGATTTGTCACACTGATGAAACGAATTTGGAAGATGAGTGCGTTGGTGATAAGCATGCTGATTATGCACCATGTATATGTCCAAAAGAGTACAGACCATATAAGTGTAATAGTAGTTCCAGTTAGTCGTTACACATGGCGCTTAAATCCACTTTCAATTGTGCAGTAGATAAAGAATTAACACAAAATGCATGGACATATGAATTAGATAAAGCCGTACATCATCAGTTAACAACTGAAAAACAAGTTATTATAATAAATCTGATTAAATATGCCGTTAATTACGTGCTGACATCGGCGAAACTTCACTTTTATACATTGCGTAAGTCGCCTGAAGCTATGCTAACCGTTCAATCTGTCTTAGGTGCATCATAAGCATTACCATCACCGTCTTCATCATCACCGTAGCTAATGAGGATGATAATAATTCTATCAGTGAATTAGCAATTGTTATCAATAATTCATCACAACACCAACTGCCAACCATTTTCGTTCTGTCCGACAGTCATAGCAAATGTCTTAATAAAACGTTACTATTACAAACGATCACTGCACTGACGACTTTGAACCACCATCTCATCATTACAAGTTTCTGGGCTAAACCGGATAGATAACTATGAGCCTCATCTTTCACTTGCTCACCTGATTCATACACCATCCATTCCATCTTTTCTGTCCACAGCAACAGCATTAGTCTTAAGTGATCGGTACAAATTCAACAAGATTAACCGAATCAACAGATGTTATCGAACAAGTAGAACAAGTCATAATACAAATTCCTAACAGACATCGACAACTTGAACACCAACAAAATATTGCCATCATTCTTCTGTGCAAGAACTACACAAAAATTTCTAAAAATAAGTAAATTATTATTAGATTCAACATTCTGCTCTAATGATGTAGCAGTTGGAAATTTTTGTGTAGCTTTTGCACAGAAGAATGATGGCAATATTTTGTTGGTGTTCAAGTTGTTGATGATTGTCTTCTACCGTAGCAGGATACTTTATTACATGATCCACCTAGCAAAAACGAGAATGGTATGTTATATTCAATCCCATAGAAGACGTTTAAAACTGTTTAGAATAACTTGTTTTGTGCCTTCATTTGTTGCACATAATTTCAATGTCCAATAATGTGCATCTGTTTCCTTAATTAATTTTTCAATCCTAAATGTTGAATCTAAATCAAAAAGAACTTCCTGTTCTTGTGGATATACACTCAAGTCTGAAATATCAGCCAACACGGCTGTATGGCAACTTGCAGTATTAACTAAAATTTCCATCATGATTGGTTCAATTTGACATCTTTCATGTTTTGTCTGATGATCAGGGTTTGGTGTTGATGGCATCTTGGAAGCGAATTTTACAGCTACTTCTTTTGATCGACTTGTTGATAGAAACCCGTTTGTTGAAATTGATTGACGTTGTTTTAACATTTGAAATTCATCTTGACAGAGTTTTAAACCCCGATAGAGCTTTAATGGAGCTTTTAGATTCTGTTTATTATACCGACGCCTCAATGCTCGAGATAGATCTCGAATAAAATATCGAAATATGTACAATGCCTCTAAATCTTGAATTCTTAATGCTTTATTAACCATTTTATATATGAAACATTGGCGGGTATACCAAATGATCGCTTGATCAGATCGATAAGTTAACTCAAATTCTTGAATGTTTTTCAGTTCTTTTTCATTTCCTCTATAATAATCTTTACATCGATCAATCATCAATTGTCTTGCATTCTGTGTCGTAAACTTCAAAATGAGTTTCTTTTTCAAATGAAATTGGTATAAATAAGCTAAAGATTCCATGCCAATATTTCTTGTTGATTTTTGTTTCTGTTCATCAAATAATAGCCAAGCTTGAAGTTGCTGTCGAAGCAATCTTAAAACTTCTTCTATTGCTTCTGTCAACTGTATTCTCGTAGTATAGATTCCAATTACTTTTTGCGAATATTCATTCAACAAGGGTTCATAATTTTCGGCATTTATACAAAATATAAATATAGAATCAACTTGTTTCAAAGGATAAATTTCAGGCAGGAGATCGAATGACGCAGGGCCACTCATGACCAGAAGAACTCTTTCGTTTATAGTTGACTTTATGTAGTCGAGACATTGATCTTTGGAATTAAAAAATAAAACATGATCATTTATTTCTAATAATTTTTCTTTTGTATGTTGTATATCGGTTTCATGTGTGTCTGCATTTTGATTAAACCAGATTAATGTAGGCACATCGACTTTGTCGTTGTGGAAGGTCGACAGTATCAGAGAAGTAGTATGAAATTGTTTCTCGTGGTCTACCCCGGCTGTAGCAGCAGACGACATAGAGGGTTCTTCTCCATTCGACATATTATATGGTTAGAGTTCTATTTGAAAAAAAGTAATAGTTATTGCAAACAAGAAGGTTTGAAAGCATTTCAAAGATAGTTGTTTACACAAATTTTAGTTGGTTTGGCGAGCCTCGAAAGAGAACTCGTAGACACTTATATTACTCTGTCAAATGAAGTTTAAGATGTAAACAAAGATTTTTTTCTACAATCTTACGGTACTACCTCCTACCTGATCGTTTTATTTTTCACGAGAAGCTGTAGGCAACTCCTTTGCGTTTTCCTCAGCAAAATTTTAACATTTGCAGTCGTACCTACCTTACTTTATAGAATCAAAGTAAATGATCAAAGTCAAAGTAATCACCGTAAAATGGTTATCCGTACACTTACTTGCAGTTTGTCTTGGTTGCTGTATAAGGAGATTGGATAACTTTTTTCTTGTTTTTACAGAAATCCACACTTGAATTTAGAAAAAGAATTGTTTCAACGTCAACTATGCGTTTCAGTATATATTATTCAGAAATAACACCAAGTTACGTTACCATATCTGATTTGGATCAATGATTTTTTTCTTTAGTAGTCATGTGTATTAGTAACGTTACATGCTTTATATGATATAAATATTACTTAACTGTCACTGTTAATACATCGCTTTGTAAAGCAAAGTTATGACACACTAAATGACTACTTTTCCATCTTTTTACCAAAGGACGGGGGATGATAGGAGCCAAAATCGGCCCCCTAACATATAAGTCTTACATTCACCGATCTCATATACTTTTTGTCCGCGATTACACCAAACTTATTTTTAGATCTTAAAAATTGTTTTAAGTGCGGTGGGAACAATTTTTACGTACAAAACTATTCTCTCCTTAGATGAACTCTCCTCAGAGTATTTTCAGATTATTTCAACCCTTCACTTAGAGCGAGTCTCAATTAGTCTTTACCATTCAGTAGAAAATTTCACAGGCTACAAAATTCTACATAAAATGTGGAGAAGAAAATGTAATTGCGTAGTCAAAAAACAATTGCATTTTTTTCAGTACGTTTAAATATAGGCCATGTATCCCACGTCTTGCAGAAAGAGAAAATCTGCACAAGTTCTTTAAAGATTCTTTTTCTCGAAAATTCTTGATCAAGAACTTGATCAAGATTTATTGATACCTCTGCACTTGATGTCCTTGGAAAAACTTGATCAAGATTTACTATGGTTTCAAGTCTGATGTATCTTGAGAATTCTGTATCAAGATCTTGTTGTTGTCTCTATCACCGTTTTTGTTTTGTAGTGTCTGTATATATATATATAAAAGCATCCGCACTGTAAAATATTGACAAATCTTCAAGTATATTATGGACATAACGTTCACTAAACAGCTTCGATAGTGTCTGAACGGTACCGTAAGAGCTGTGAATTGTGCAGTACTGTTCGTACAGTGCAGTACTGCAGAGCGAGCGCAATAGAATACAGTAGATAAAAATAAAAATAAATGAAAACAATACCTAAACAATCCAAAAACTATTCTACATTTATACAGATATCGAAAAACTGTCAAGATTCTGCTAATTAATTAATAACTAATTAATTGCTTCGTCAGAATCAGTTACAAATCTTGATCAAGATCTTGATCAAGTTTTTTCAAGACAGATTCTGTAACAAAACTTGTCGACAATCTTGAACTGCAAGATGATCTCAGAATCTTGACAGATATCGATAAATCTGCATAAGATCTTGAAAGAACTGAACAGAAACTTCCGAAATCTTTCAAGTTTTTATCAAGATCTGCAGTCAAGATTTTTTACTTGGGTATATGGCAGTCCCGAAATAAATGTTACTTCATTTTTTAAAGCAGACAATTCTACATCAATTCATATACAATAGAGCATTTTAAACACCAGCATGATGCACTTTTAGTATTCGAGAGACGTATAGGTTTCATCATTTTTGTTGAGTCATTACAGATATAGAGAACTCATTTTACTGTGAAATGAGACATTAGCGAGCTCTCTGCGGTGTTTTTTATGATCTTACACGCGTTTTACGACAAGCACTGTATCTGGGGTCGGTCTCCTATTGGTCTTTACCTCAGTTTTGATCCACTGACCAAGTGCAATAATTTACATATAGTTGAATAGAGCATCGAAAGTTATATCTAGTGGTATAAACTTTTATCTTCATTAGTTCTTGTTAATTAACCGATGTTTGAGCGACCGACATCCCACGGCACACTGCCAAAAATACCCAAATGTGTACTACAAAAAATTAGTCGGAGAGTCCAGTCCGGTTTGCGGTAATGTCGACCGAGTGTCGGCTCAAGTGTCATTCGGTCAAATGCCGGTCGCACAGATGTCGACGCTTAAATGTCGGCGCTCAAATGTCGGTCGCTCAAACGTCGGGTGACGGTTCTTGTCAGCAGCGAAAAAGTTTGAATTTTGTAAGAATGGCAGGAAAATGGGTATTATATTTATTGAGAAGACATTTTTCTGCTACTTTTCACAAACGAACCCTATTAGTTTTGTGTCCAAAAACTACACATGACTCAATGCTAGCTACTCATGTCGAAACTTGGATAAAAATTATTTTCTCCTATGAGTAATTGCACGGAAGAGACGACCTAATATAATACACTAGAACTTGCTAACTTGCTCAATTTTTTTTTGAAATATAATTCTGATTTCGCCGGTTTGTAGTCCTACTAAAGTTGAGTATATTCTGAAATTATTAACCTATAGGGGTGTTTCACTGATTGGGAATAAATTTTTTATCTCGATGCATCAGTCTAATTCACAGCATTAATGACTTTTTGTATGATCTGGTATTATTTACCGATAACGTTTCCAATCGAGTTTTTTGGTGGGTATATGCTAGACAACGAGTAATATACATCTACCGACTCAAAACAAATTTTCGAACCAGGAGAATCCGTGGCGCTCCATTTTTGTGTCTATTTCCAACGATGGATTTCACTCGGTTGTGCAAGTTGATAAGCCTCAAATCTTATCAGTATATACTACTAACCTTACTCTATCAGAATCTGTTTTCGAACGTTTGGCTTTTTGCTTCAGCGCCTGGCTGGCTGCTACCGAAGTATACCACTTTTTCATAGTACGCTCACCTATCGGGTAAAAATTTGTCCTTGACATATTTTTTTTAAAGGATAATATATTCGTATTCTTCATGAAATTCTGCATCAATTGGTATAGTTCTTACTACTGTAGATCGTATACTCGAGACTCTAGACAACTTTAACCACCCAACATCATCCGCTTTGGTCCTGCTCGAGGTCCTCTGTGGTGAGGACAGAACAGATGAGGCTAAGAAAGGTGTAGTTTTGTAGAACTCATTTCAGGCTACAAGATAGCTATCTTTATTTTTTTCTGAACACACATCATAAACCAAATGGCGGTTTATAATTACGCAAACCTAGGCACACCATGTACTACATTCCGTAAATGTTTTATCACGGTTAAATGAAAAGGATTCCCAACGTGGAAATAATGTGGAATGTATAGTTTCAGATCCTCTACCCTGGAAAAAACAAGATACGATACGGAACTTAACGAGGGTTTCGTGCACACTACGGAACTTAAAAAAGGTTTCAAGAATTGAAAACATTTCTAAACCCTTTTAAAGATTTCATAGATTTCCCACGAAACCTTAAAAATGTTCTTAGATCCTTGATAAATCCTTTTAAGGGTTCGTACATTCCTACGAAACCTACAAAGGATTTAGGAATAGTTTCAGTTTTCGAAACCTTTTTTTTTCATTGCGCCAGAATGAAAATATGCTTCCTTCAAAGACCTTGTTTCTGACCAACAGGTTTTCTGGAAAACTTCTCAAATTTTTTTTCTATATAGTTTGATAGAATAAAATATTATGAGTAAAATCGTATAGCGCTCAAAATTTTCTGTTTGTTTCTCAACAATCTGCAGGATTCGGGATTTAGCTGGATAAACCGCCCCCTAGTAAAACTGTGTTTTTGGAGACTTGACTTCTCTATATACTAATATTGCAACACTTTGAGCGATATACCACTTTACTTACGAGGGAACCCCTCGAAGTGATTAAACGCTTTTTGCTCGGAATCTAGTGGGTTATAGGTTATCGACCATGCTGATTACGAATACGACCATGGGACTTCCCCATAGCCCTTCGAAGACCTGATTTTCTAGAAAACCAGTTTTTCAAAAACTCTAAAATA